TTTGTTGCTTTACCATCAGATAATTGAAGTGTCCAGACTACCTGAGATGATAGAAACTGTTGCCCTTGGTGGAATAACAGACTTGGTTTTATGGCAGCAAATGACCTGTGTACTGTACATGACATTTAATCTTTATCTTCCTGCAACAATCATAACTAAATTAAGAACACATCCTTTTCCTAGCAAATTTGCTTTGGAAATATAGGGCAAAGAGGGCAAATAATTTCAAGCAAAGACAGTTTCAATTTTATTCTGAAAAACTTTCTCAATATAAGTGATACTAGTTTTAGAAGAGGAGTAGGCTTATTTCTTTTCTTCAATTTTAAGACCTAAGGTTTATAAACTATAGTAGTTTGGTGATGGCAATAGTGGTGGTGGTATGGTAGTGCTGGGACATTTCAGAATGATGTACCTTTAAAAGAATTCTACCCACCAGTGTAACAGCAGTGTTTCTGTGTCACTGACCTCATAAGAGATAACATCCACATACATCCAGCCTCTGCAGTTATTGGAGACATATGTATTCTGTGTTGGGGGTGAAGATGCTGTACTTCTTAGATTTAGTGCTAATATCAGTCAGTGATCTCCAGAGAAACAGAACCAATAGTAGATATATAGAGAGAGGAGGTAGGGAGATGGGTTGAAGGAAAGAGTATAATTTGTTTTAAGGAATTGGTTCATTTGATTGTGGAAGCTGGCAAGTCTGAAGTCTGGGAAAGGCTGGCATGCAAAGAATTGAGCCTAAGCTGGAAACTCAGACAGGGTTTCTGTATTGTAGCCTTGAGGTAGAATTGCCTATTTTTTGGGAAGCCTCAGTTTTTCCACTTACTCTAGAGCATTTAAAGGTTTGGGTGAGCCCTGCTCCATTACAGAAGGTAATCTGCTTTACTCAAAATCTGTTGATTAAAAAGTTAATCACATCTAAAAAATACCTACATAGCACCATCTAGATGGGTTTTTGACCAAACACCTGGGCAAAAGCAACCCAGCCAAGTTGACATGTACAGATAGTCATCCCAGTGGACATTAACTTTAAAATTCTAGTCAACAATTAGCATTATCCAGAACCTACCCATGGCATGTAGATAATCACATCCTCTGTGTAGATAATCAGAAACCAAACATCTTAGAATATAGGGTATTATGCTTCAGTATAATCCCAAAACATTATCTGCTTCATTCCAGAATATGAAATTCCATAGGATTCCTCCCAGATGAGGACTACAACCAGTCCAAACTGTTTTTCACTTGAGGTTAGGGTTGATGCCCCTCTTTTGGCATATGTTTGACTAAAGGGCTGTTTTAGCCTGGGTTCCCCAGATTCTATGCATAACTATTATAACAGTGGACAGATCTGTGCAACCTCAAACCAGAGTCAGCAGTGCAAACTGTTCAGCCTCTCTGGAATTTAAACTCAAGGGAGCAAAGGGGGGAGGGTGCCTAGTGGATTATGGTAGATAATTATTGGTGCTTTGGTGGTGGGTGTGGTGTGGTAACATACATTTGTAGAGTTGTGAACCTGTACCCCTAAATCATAGTGTTGTAACATTTGTAGAGTTGTGAACTTGTACCCTTAAATCATAGTGTTGTCACTCAACATTACCTCAAAAAACATAATTTAAAAAGCATAAGACACAAAAGATTTTAATCTCAGACAGTAGTGTTAGGAAGTGCATTTGAGTCTCTGTTAATTTCTTTTTTTAGTTAAACAACATTTTTAAAAAACCACCATCATCTGTTAGATCCCCCTCTACCCTTGGAGCCCATCCCACCCTTTTCTCCTCTGGTAACATCAGTTCTGTTTTCCAGGTCCACTAGTTTATTATTATTTTGTTGTGTCCATTCATTTGCTTTGTTTTCTCATAGTCCACTTGTAGGTGAGAACATCTGAGATTTCTTCTCTGATTTATTTTGCTTATCTTTCTTCTCTGATTTATTTCACTTATCATAATCCTCTTAAATTCCTTCCATTTTGCTGCAAATGGCAAAAATTCATCATTTTTTATAGTGAGTAGCATGTGATTCTCTTACCTTACGTTTCCTTGACTGAGGCCTTCTTTGCAAATTTTGCAAACACCATTCCTTCTCATCTAGCTGCAGTGCCTGTTGATATTTTCTTAGAAGTAGTAGTTCAAGAATTCTTCGCTTTTGTCACTGCGGCTATAACCATGAATATGCTCAGGCTTCAGAAGATGCTCACCTCCAGTGTCCTCCACTGTGGCAAAAAGAAAGTCTGGTTGGACCCCAGTGAGACCAATGAAAACGTCAATGCCAATTTCCGTCAGCAGATGCTGAAGCTGTTCAAAGATAGACTGATCATCTGCCAGAAAAACACCTTGGGCTACTGAAAGGACAGACATATCAGAAGAGGTAAGCAAGAGGGTACTGCCAGTGGTGGAATGCGGAGACGGTATCCTGGATGAGGAAGTTGAGAATTCTGTGCAGCTGCTCAGAAGATACTGAGAATCTAATAAGATTGGCCATCACATGCATCACAGCCTGTACCTGAAAGTGAAGGGGAATGTGTTCAAAAACAAGCGGATTCTCGTCGAACACATTCAGTCTAAGGTCTACAGGTTTAAAACTAAGGAAGCACTGAAGCGCCCTGAGGAGTGGCCCCAGCCCAGGAAGGATGAGATCATCAAGAATCTGAGGAGGAAGAGACAGAAAAATAAAGCTCCTTCCTTCCCTTGTGTGTACTTCATGGCCTTAGCAATTACATTGATCATTTGTTCAATAAAATAAGGCGTTAACTGTCAAAAAAAAAAAAAAGTAATAGGTTGACCCACTTTACAGAAAAGTTTTGAAAGAAAGCAGCAGGCAGAGTACAACTGATTCATCCAACCAACTCCTCTTAGTGCTTACTTTGTGCTCAAAATGAGTTCTGGAGGTTGAGAAGAAATGTCTGGTCATAGTCCTCACAAGCTGGAAGCTTAAAATCTACTCAGAGGATATGTATAGTGAAACTTCCCAAAGATATATAACCAAATATCTTGGGTTCATTTTCTTGTATTAACAACCAGAAGAGATTTGCTTTTTAAGTAGTTTTAGGCCAGAGGCGTGAGCACTTAGAGTTCATGGATCAGCTTCTTACAAATGGCCCCTTCTTTGAGTAATCAGAACCCTACCTTAAGTAAAGAAGGAAAGTTGCGAGGCAAAGTGAAAAAATTAATACTCTCTTCTGTAAAGGGATAAGAGGATATTCACTGAAGTTTGTAAAATAATAAAGGAAACAGTTATACAAAACCAAAGTAACAATTTTATTAAGTTCATATTTGTACACGTTCTGAAACATTACTATCTTTCTAATCAGAAATATAGTTTTAATAAATTCCATATTTTTATTTTGTCATGTCTTGATTAAAAATACTGTTGGAAAGGTATAATTGAAAACAGATCTATACTAAGAAGTTGTTTTTGTTTTTGTTTTTTTAACAAAGTACATGTTTTACATATTTGCTTTTACTTAGGAAAAAAAATTACTTAGGAAAATACAACTTGGGTGTAGTACCATGTGGTGTAAACAACTGAACTATTTTACTTTTTACTTTCCTATGAATGAGCCAGTATATATTTATTACTGCAGTTCCAGCTATAAAATTCAGGTAAGGGGTTTAAATATACCCTAGAGTATTATTCAAAAATAAATTCGCCTCTTTCAAATAGAATACCAACCTTGGTCTGTGACATTTAGGGGAGAAATTAAAATATTAAACTTTTATTACCTAGTAAACTGAAAATAAAGTAAAGGTTAAATAAATACAAAGCAGAAAAAAAATATATATGTACAAAATCACAATCTCTAAAAGGACAAACAGTTTGCTGTTCTCTTCTGTGAGAGCTTTATCAGCAGTAGTAAGTAATTCCACCTCTAGGGCAGTGCTAGTACCCAAAAATGTAAACAAGTATGTACTTTGTTTATATAAAGAAATATGCAGGCTGGTTTGTATTTCTTTATAGATATGAAACAGCTAAATGGATTCTTTCAAACTACCAGTAGGGGCCAGCAAAGAGCTCTTAAGAGTTTTTCAGAGCAGAATTGGCATTGAGATGTGTTTATTTGATGTGTTAAATCCTTTTTAGACTTCTTTACTTACCACAACACTCTCTTAAGTGAATGAATTGCAGAGACAGTGGAATAAAATATCTTGTGTGCTCAAACTATATTGGGTATAGTTTTTCAGTCTAATCTGCATATATTTTTAATGGAATGTTTGCTTAGGCTATTTCTTGGCAGAGTTTTAATAGTCAAAATATAAATGGCATCATTTAAAGACTGTACTACTTGGCTGCAAAAGACCTTAAAATTACAAGAGAAAATGCTTGGTGACAGCTTCTCTTAAACTTTTTTCCTCAGATGTATGCTCAGTTTTTGCATTAGCATTACTAGGCTAATTTTGTCTTTCTATCCTTCAGCTTTCACTTTTTGTAAGTAGTATTTTGGAAACTAAATGCTTTATTTGATTTAATGCTAACGTTTTATTTCACCCCAAAGTTCTGGTATTTTCAAATATATACAGCTGTTTGAACTTACTCATTTTTTAAAAATTTAACTATATTTCTACATTAACTAACTTGACTAAATTCCTAGTATAGCCACTATTTGGAAATTCAATCTTTGATTTGATACTCAATTACATGGGGCTTCATTCCTACCAACTTCCTGTAATTCTATCCCTATGGGTAAAAATATTAGTGGTCAAACTCTGCTGGAGAAAAGTATAGGAACCTTGATTCACATAGTTAAATGTTCATTTAGTAGAGCTGGAGTGAAAAAATACTGTTTCAACTTGAAATGCTAGAAGATTGTTGTTCTTGTGTTACTCATTCATGCAAATTGGAGAAGGTATAATTGAAACAAGGTTGGCAGTGTTTGAGGCAGTGTGCTGCAGCTGAGCTCAGCTTTAAAGGTCGCTGGAAATCAAGTGCTTTGTAAGTGAAGGCATTTTGACTACAAGCAATTCAAGACATTTTGGAAACGTCAGTCTCAGGAATGGGTCGTCTTTTTCTTTCTGTGATATCTGTTATCTGATGTCTAACTTAGGATAAAGACTACTACTTATAAACTCTTTCAGGCACCACAAATGATTTTTTCTTTCGATGCAGTACAGCTGCTTCTACCCTGTCTACCGACAGAGATCTTTGTTATGACTTTCAGCCCTTAACATGTTTGGAAATGAGAACAAATGGCACAAAGCTTACGATTGCACTTTGCAGCCAGAAGAAGTAATACTTATCCTTTGTCAGAAAACTCCGGAGGTGATTTGGATAGCAGTGCTCACATGTGTTTCAAAAGACCAACACGGATTTCAGCGTCTAATGTTGTTCAAATGAAGCTGACGCCCAGACAGACTGCACTAACTCCGTTAATAAAAGAAAACGTTAAATCTCAGGAAAGAGCATCTGTTCCTTCACCTGAAAATGTTAATAAAAAGAGCAGCTGTCTCCAGATTTCACTACAACCGACAAGGTACAGTGGATGTCTTCAGTCTAGCAATGTCTTAGCTGATGGTGATGATGCTTCATTTACTTCTGCCTTGAAGGATGGCATTTACAGTAGTGCTGTGGTTGAGGATGAACTGAATGCTGTGACTGATGGTAACCTTTTAAGCAGTTCTGCCATTTGCAATGATAGCCTTAGTAACTTTTTGACCAGTGAGAATGGGTCTTACAGTAGCAATGGTAGTGATTATGGGTCATGCACAAGTATCACAAGTGGAGGTTCATACACCAACAGTATCATTAGTGACAGTAGTGGTTATACTTTCCCACCATCTGATGATACTTTTTTTGGTGGAAATTTGTTCTCTGACAATGCTTCCACTGGAAGTGTGCCAAACAGGAATACTACCCCATGTGAATTTTTTTCAAGAAGTACAAGTGCAGTTCCATTTGCCCAGGATGACTTGGAGCATGGACTAGAGATTATAAAATTGCCAGTGAGCAGGAACTCGAAAATTCCACTAAAACGTTGTTCATCCTTAGTCATTTTTCCTAGGAGTCCTTCAAACACCCCACCAACTTCTCCAACAAGTACAGATACTCTTCCAAGCAAAGGATCCTATCAAACCTCACACCAGTTTATTATTTCTCCTGGTGAAATTGCCCACAACGAGGACGGTACTAGTGCTAAGGGATTTCTTTCAACAGCTGTCAATGGACTTCGGTTATCTAAAACAACCTGTACTCCTGGAGAAGTAAGAGATATACGGCCACTTCACAGGAAGGGCTCTTTACAAAAGAAAATTGTTATTGCAAATAATAGTTCAAATCAGACTGTCTGTGAAAAATCATCTGAAGGCTATTCTTGTGTTTCAGTGCATTTCACCCAACAAAAAGCAACTACGTTAGATTGTAAAACAGCAAATGGTGATAGTAAACCAGAGATGTCAGAAGTTAAGCTTAATTCTAAATCAGAGTATATTAAACACGTGCATAGGACATCTGCATGTTTACCATCCTCCCCAAATGTAGATTATGAAATAAATATCACTGGACAGTTGGAGAGACCAAATTCACAGATAAACAAAAACCATGCTGTTTTACAAAGAAGTATTTCTTTGGGAGGAACTTACCCAAATGTTTCCTGTTTATCCAGCCTTAAGCACAATTGTTCTAAGGGGGGACCATCTCAATTACTCATAAAGTTTGCATCTGTAAAAGAAGGTACAGTTGATAATTTACCAAGAGACAACAACAAAGATTTCACAAATAAACTATCTAATTGTTTGAAGCATTCTTGTAAGAAGGTAAGTTTCCTTTGGTTTTTGTAAATGTAAATTTATATGTAAATGTGAATTTAGAATACCTTAATATTTGGTTAAAATTTATTATTACTTAGCAGTTTTATATACTTTCTTGGTCCTTAACCAGCATATATTTTGTAGTTGTGAACTTTATATATGTAAATCTGAAGTACTCACAGTGTTACTTTATTTTATTTTATTTGTTTTTTTACTGATGTAGAAAAATGCATTAAGGAAAAACTTTCCAAAGTGATTTAAGCAATAAAACATTTCTGTAGTATAAAAACAAGCTTTAAATAATAATTTATACTATACCATTTACCTTGGTCTGTGTGTCCCTCAAGCAGCATAGTATTTTATGTCTAACTTCATATTTTATGCCTACTTCCAAAATTGCTCATTCAGTTTTTTTTCTTTCTTAATCATTGTGAAATAAAATATTAAACAATAAAAAGCCCATATAAAAATGTGAAAATCTTGCAATAAATGAAATTAGGTAAAGTATTTCTCTAAACTACATGTATTTATTAGATCATTATATAAATTATTACACTGTATATTTAAAGAAGAGGAAAAATAAATGTCATTTGCATTTGTATATACCCTCAACCACAGGAATTTTGTTTCCACCCTATTTTTCTTTAGCTACTAGCTAAGACTGCCTTCTAAAATGTAACTCACTCTTTTCAGCAATATTGAATTCTAAACTTTTTTTGAAGTTGGTTTAAATTGCTAGGCATTTCCCATAATTTTCTAGTTACTTTATTAATTTATTTTGATAAATTACTTTATTATATTAGTAATTTAATGCTAATGAGTTAACCAAAACAGTTCTTTATGTAATTTTTCTTTTCCAAGGCATTTTAAGAGTTTTGAACTCAAAGAGATTTCTTCTTAAGTTTCAATATTTAAAAGATCTTGCCAGACTCTGAGAAATTAAAAAGCTTTTCTGATTAACGCAGATCTAGATGTCAGTACATAACAGTTTAGGAAAATAAAACTTATCTGTTTATTTGTGTTTGCATAACACTCAATATCTACACCAAAGTTTTTAAAACAAACTTCAGGACCAGCAGCTTTAGGTAAATAAAATATTAAGTCATTGTTAGTTTGTTTTTCTCTTTTGAAATCTGGTATATAACATATAATCATTGTTACCTAATGCCTAGATTTTAATATATGCAAATGGCTTATTGAGTATGGAAAAAAGATCAGATTTCAAATTCTGATCTATATTTGAAATTTTAGAATTGTTAGTTCCATTTACAAAACCAGCTTTTTAGAAGATTATAATCCATTCAGCTGTTTTGCCCTCTAACAGAAGGCAGTGAAGTAATTACTATAAAGAAACATTAATAGTTTGCTAATTGAATTACCTGTACTTTGTAATTTTATTTTACTTTTAATGAAATAATTTGAAAGGAATAATTAACCTAGAAATATTTATAGGGCTATCCCTAAAATAGTTGACTTTGTGTTAATATAGTTTGTTGTGGATGCTCGTGAAAATGGTTTCTTTAATATTTTAATAGGATATGATTAAATGCCTTTTGCATGACTAAAAATATACATTTTATTTAAACTTAAACTAATTTAATTTTTTTCTGACAACCAGATGTTAAATTTTTTTTAGATTATTGTATTATAAAATAGCTTAGAAGTGTGTAATTTGATGGGAGAGCTTTAAATTATTCCTCTTTTTAATATTTATTAAACAACTTCTCTTTACAGAAGTATTATAAATATTATAGTGACCATTCAGTTCAATATATATTAGATCTAGGTTAATCTAATTGACTCATAGTAAATCAAGGTCTTGTTTTAAGTGGAAAATACTAATGTTGCTTTTTCTAAAGATAGTAATGACAACAATAACGGGGTTTTAGAAATAATCCTGTGTTTATCAATAATTATATATTAATCTAATTATAGTGGTGTATTGTAACTCCTTTATAAATAAACAGCTCCCAAAATATTTCCCATGACTCCAGTTAGTCTAGGGTAGTATTCTGATATGCTGAGTCTGGATTTGCATTTAACAAGTTGATATTAGAGTAGCATTTAGTAATGTCAGCTATCTGTACCCAGCAGCCATGAAATTAAATCACTGCTTTGGTCAGGGACCCGATTTCTAAAGCACTGGGATGTCTACAGATTCTTTTCCTATGTGTTTAGCTACCACTCTCTAGCAGTATAATATTGAGTTTCCAGCTCTCTATTATTAACAGTTCATTAAAGGCTACTTTTTTTTTAAATTAATGAGAACTTTTACCTCAGTCTACGACACAGATTCTGTTCTGTGTTTACAACTTAAGAGTGAAGATGGGGCTTTCTAAAAAAGAAAAAAAAAAGATGGGGCTTTGTAGTCTGCATAATGTTGTTTATTTCAAGCATATCAAAGAACATGATAATAACTGGCGTATGTTTACTGTATGTACTTTCTGAAATACAGTATTACTTTTGTAAATGCTAGATAGTGATTTTTTTTATCAGAAAGTAGATATTAGAAGTTTTAACATTGTATGTAATATTTTATTAGCACCATCAAGAAGTAGTTAAGGTCCTTTTAACCAGTTATAAAATTGCTGTTCAGATTTCTAAAACCTGTGTTTGCACTATTTTTGTTTTTTCCTATTTTCTAGATCACTTACATTTTGTGTTTGGATGCTCAGAGATTTCATTACCCTATTATTTAAAATACCTTAGTATTTTTCCACACTTTTACATATCTTTCATTCTTCATATATAAGCATGTTTTTATTAGAAAATTTGGCCTTACTTTTTTTTTTTTAGAAATACACTTTTTTTTGTTCATTGTCACTGAGTAGCTATATTACTTAAGTCTAGCATAGAACTTTAATAAATTAATGTCTCAATTACTCCAGAAGCCTTTAATCTGAAGATTATACATTATAATGTCTTCGTGCATTCTAAAACAAATGTTTTAGAATATCTTTATATTATTGTTGCATTATTTTCTAAATCCTTATTTTTATTAACTGTAGCAGAATACTTAGAGACATTTGCTTAAATTTATTTTGAGCAACACTTTGAGTCTCCTATAAAAACAATATAATTTATAAATATTGACTCTAAAACTGTGATGCAACAGTATCTTATACTTGTATATGTTTATTCCTTGGAAATGAAAATTATAATATTAATTACAAGGACGTTCAGTTAGCTGAAATATTTGCTTCAGAAATACTTTGTATTTCTCTATGGATGTGTCTTCTTTAATGCATTTATCTAGCATACTTTTGAGTGCCTACCAATTGCCAGGCACTGACCCAAGTCTTGGTAATAAAAGATAAAGTACAGTCTCTACTTGGGGGAACTCCCATTCTGGTAATAGAGATGCACTGATAAACAACAAACAAAAATGTTCAATATGATCTGCTAAAATAGAGGTGTGTATGAGACAGTGAGAATAACAGTATTTATCTGGAGGAGAGTACCTGGTTTGTAAAGGAAGTTTTCACAGCGGAGGTGACCTTGAGCTAAGTCAGGTAGGTAAGTTGGAATTGTCTAGGTGGAGAAATCAGAGAGGATATTCTAGGACAGGGATTTTCAGTCCCAACACTATTCACATTTTGAATATGTTTTGTTATGTGGGGACTGAATAGGATATTTAGTAGGCTTTTGTGCCTGGTAGGATATTTAGTAGTATCTCTGTCCTACCCCTACTAGATGTCAGTAGCACCTGTCTGCCCCACTTTTGACCATCAAAAAATATCTCCAGACATCTGGCCTCCCAGGTGGCACAAGAGGTTAAGTCTCAGCACTGTGAAGCTATCTGCAACCACTGTAGCACAAGTTCAATCCCTGGCCAGGGAGCTAACCCACATGGTGCAGCAGACCTCTCCTGTCTTGCCCACTGCTCCCCTCAGCAGTGCATTTCAGTCAGTCCACCTGTTCTGTTTCCTGCTCTGTCTCTGGTAAATCCTCTCACCCCCCCCCCCCGACACCTCTGGCCTGTACCCCAGTTCTTGTATGCATAGATAAATAAAATAAATCTTTAAAAAAAAAATGTCTCCAGACATTTCCAAATGACCCCTGGGGCTAAAACTGATCCCAGTTGAGATTTGCTGCTCTAGGCTGAAGCTGCAATACAAGCAAGGCTAGAGCGGTAGGAAAAAATCACACTATAAAAATCAAGCATTGGGAACCCAGGGATATCAAAAAAGATAAGACATTAGAAGTGGGTTGGGGGAGTACCTCATGCTGAAGAGAAAGCAGTCTGTCTTCAGATAACAGACAATAGTTAGGCAATGGAAGTCTTTGAGAGTGTAACATGCTTGTTTTTATACCTTGAGTGATACATTTTTTATAATGCCTTGGATTATTGGTGAACCAAATTTTTCTTAACTTGATTGACTGGGTGTATGGAGATGATGTGAGCTAAGATAAGAAATTCAGAAGAAGGGGTCAGATTAGAAGGATACAAATAAGCCATCCATTGTTAAGTTTATGTACTAGGAGGCTGCCCTGGTAGTATAGCACTGCTGTCAAATATACAGGGCAGGTGGAGATAGAGGACCAGGCCTAAGGAGAAAAGTAGAATTGAAAAAGTAGCTTAGGCGTTTTGTTCATAACCAAAGTCTTAAGTGAGAATGAAGTGAAAAAGCCATAAAAGGGAGAAAAAAGGAGACAATAAATAAAAATTCTAGGGGCCACCAACTTCAGGAAGATGGTGGAAGATAAACTGGAGATCAAGAAGAAACAAGAAGCCACCAAAGGGCCAGAGAGGCCAGGAGAACATGGAGGCATGGAAGTCAAAGGAAGGGAAAATTCCAGGATACCAACAGAGAATTTATGTATCCATTGAATATGGAGTTAGGAATTCCTTGGTAGTGATAGCAAGAGCAGGCTCAGGAGAATAGTGTAAAAGCCCAGTTTACGTAAGAATGAAACAGGTACATATGGTAAGCATATGAGAGACATGTCATGTAATAGGCTAAATGTGATATAATAGGCATGAGATAGTATAGGCAAGGTACACA